AGCAGCAAGTAGAACCTACACAAATCAAAATAAGTCACAACGTGGTTTGTAAACCATGATTTTCAGCTTAGCTGATTATTTATTTGCTGGATTTATAAACTGCCTCAGAGGTTCCAGATGATGTATAAAATCAAAACACAACACGGAGTAACAATACAAGTATAAAATTGGAAGGTTGAAAGAGTGGGAGCCTCTCTTGCCTTGGGGAGTGAGGTACAAGAGTGTCTGTTTCTGTATCCCCTCCTGTTGTATCTCCTAATAGAAAGGGACATCAACAGGTCCCCCCTGTTCACCCTGGTTCGGCAGGCAGAATCTACCTGAGATAGTCTCCAAGGTACCTAGGCCTTGAGCCAGATACAGCTTTATAGGTAATAACCAGCACTTTGAACTTGGAAACAAACTGGTAGCCAGTGCAGTTTCTGTGACAGCACTGATGTATGACGATACCAGTAAGGACAAGGGCAGCTATAGTTTACACCAGTTAGAGCCTCCAGGTGTTCAAGAGCAGCCCCATGTAGAGTAAAAGTCAGTTAATCCAGGCATGAGGTGACAAGGACACAAGTCTTTAGACCATCCTGTTCTAGATGAAGCCACTCTTGCAACTGACAGAGTAGCCACGCTGGGCAAAGGTCCTCCTGGCCTCAGTCTTCTCCTGTTCCTCCAACAAGAGTCCAGGAGAACCCCACATTGAAAGGGGGCCCATCAAGAGCCGAAGTTGGTATAACCCTGGTATCTCTTAGCTTCTGAACTACTCCACTTGGCTTGGTTGAGCCTATGCATGTTTCTCCCCATCCAGCCCTTGACAGCATCCAGGCACTGGGTCAGGATTTCCATCACTTTCAGCTTGGGACGGAGATGTATAGCTGAGTATCATCAGTACTTATGAGTGAACCCAATCATTCTGGCCTTATTTAACAAACCACGGCTTAGTGCAATCTGTGAATCCAGCTACTGAAAAACCCAATAGCAACAAAAAAAAAATGTAAAGAATGGATATGAATGGAGCAAAAACATGAAGCTGATAAACAATTCAAGGAAAAATGCAGAGGAGTTCCAATGAAAGAGCTTCAAGAAAGGATTTGTAGAGGAAGTCTGACTCTGTAAAAGGAGCTTCTCAAGTGTCTAGGATACAAAAGGCAGTGAAGCCATGCAGGGAAAGGAGCGGCAGGGTGGAAGCCTAGACAACTGAGGCAAGTCACAACAATGCCTTTGAATTTCTACCGGAAACAAAAAATGAAAACAAGCTACACGATACAGCTGTGCCTGGTTCCTTCAAAGCCAGTCCAGTGGCTAAGTTCATAGAATGTGATACCAGGACAATGACTTCAAGGGGAAACACCTCTATTTAAGTACTGATAACTTTGTGGCCAAACCACCCCAAATTCCACCCTAAACCTAAGAGAAAAGTGCGTGGAGAGCAGTTCAACTCTCCACGCACTTGAACTGCCTGAGAGCAGTTCAAAATACACCCTTCCTCTCCATATACATTTTAATATTACTTCAAAGAGAAAGGCAGTGTAGCATACGGCTCAATGAAGAATGATGAAAGCTGAATTTGGAGAATGGTTAGATTACTAAGGCAATCAAAACAGATTGTGGTGCTTGGTTGGTTTTAATTAAGCTCCTAAAATACAAGCCTGCTTTCAACCTTGGTCATTCTGTACTTTACATGGATTGCTCAGCTGCAAGAACATAGCTGGGATCATTCCTTGAAAACTAAATCCGATTAGTTGTAGTGATTTTGTTTTCTTAAGCTTGTAGTTATGTTTAAACCACATGGTCTTGCTGTAGTGTTACTTATTGGACACTTAAGAAGTTAGGAACTCATAATAGGGTCATCTCTTATGATTTCGGGCAACTAAATCAAATATAGTAGTTACTGAACAAGTTCAAACCAGCACTCATAGACAATTCTGGGACTGGGGAATCTGTTGATGTTCAAATGCATGGTCAACAAGGCAAATACCACTTTTTAGAATGACTGAAAGCCTAATTTAAGCAAGTCCATCAGCAGATGGCAGCAAGTGTTTGATCTCAAAGACGCTAAGCTGGTTAGCAGCTGGAGGATCAACCAGACTGTGAAGGTGAGAAAGAAAGCAATTGTCAACTACTTCTGTGCTGTTTTCAAGAAAATGACAAGGCTAGAGTAAAGATTCAGGAAGTCTTTCTTTAAACACAGGTTTGGTCCTGGGACTCACTTTGTATGTTGCAAACCATGAAATGTGAATTTAGTCTCATTAATCCTTGCACAAGATCTAGCATTCGTCCATCTGGTGACTGATGGACCTGGATGGGTTTCAGAAGGAGCTGGGGATGCACAGTCCATCTGAAGCCTTGGTTACCATTTGGAATAGGGGGGTGGCTGAGGCTTTGGATCGGATTGCGCCTATGTTACCTCTCCCCTCTTGTGGATCCTGTCCCTCCTCCTCCTCGTGGTTCACAGAAGAGTTGAAGGAGATGAAATAAGAGATGTCTAGAGCTTTGCTGGTGATCAACAGGGGACAAATTCAACTGAACATGGGTTGGAGCTACTATTAAGGTCTATCTTGTGGTGATAAGAGTGGCAAAGCATCAATACTTCTCCACCTTTGTGTCTGCAGATAGCCATCCCATGGCCTTGTTTCAGGTGACACATGTCCTCTTGGGTAGAGGGGGCTCAAAGAACCCCCTGCAAGGGCATGCAGAAGAATTTGCTCAGCATCTGTTGGGCAAGGTTGCTCAATTTCCCTCACAATTGGATGCTGGCCTTATTGCAGGTTTGGGGGAGATGCCTGGGGAGGAGTCTTGCCCAGTTGTCAGGGAATAGTTTGAATCTATTGGGCCTGAGGAAGTGGGCAGAGTCCTTAGGACTGTGAGCTCAGCCACCTGCTCTTTAGATCTGTGTCCCTCCTGACTTATTATAGGGGCCCGGGGGGGGGGGGGTCATGTGAGTGGGTTCTAGTGAGGGGGTTGTTCCTTTATCTCTTAAGGAGGCCCTGGTTTGCCCACTCCTCAAGAAGCCATCACTGGACTCCACTATACTGGACAATTTTCATCCAGTATCTAACCTCTCCTTTTTGGGGAAGATGGTTGAGTAGGTACTTCCCAACAGCTTCAGAGGACCTTGGATGAAGCAGATTATCTGGATTCCTTTCAGTCAGGATTCAGACCTGGGCATGGAAACAGCATTGGTCACACTTTTGGATGATCAATGGTGTGGGCAGGATGGGGGCAGTGCGTCCATCCTTGCCTTACTTGACCTCTTAGCGGTTTTCAATACCATCAACCAGGGTATCCTTCTGGATGGGTTCAGAGGACTGGGGGTGGGTGGCTGGTTTGCCTCCTTTCTTCAGAGTTGATTCCAGTTGGTGGTGATTGGGGGGGAGAGATCCCACCCTCGGCCCTTACCCTGTGGGGTGCTGCAGGATTCGCCGTGCTCTCCGTTCCTATTCAACATCCACATGAGGCTGCTGGGTGAGCTCACCCGTCGCCATGGGATGAGTTATCAACACACTGATGTACCCAATTATACATGTCTGCCACTGGCGAATTAAGCGATGCCATGAACATTTTACCCTGGTTCCTGGAGGCTGTGAGGGTCTGGATGGGGAACAACAGGCTTCAGCTGAACCCTGGCAAGACTTGAGTGGCTTTGGGCTCAGGATCTTGCCAGTTCTAGGACTATGCCATCTTTGGTGCTGGATGGGTGGCACTGCCCCGAACAGACCTGGTGTGCAATCTAGGCATTCTTCTGGACTCATGACTCCTACTTGAAGAGCAGGTGGGAGTTATGGCTAGGACCTTTGCAGAGCTTTGTACTGTGCACCAGTTGCACCTGTTCCTAGATCAGGGGGCTCTGCCCATGGTCACTCATGCCCTAGTCACCTCCCAATTGGACTACTGTAATGTAGTCTACATGGAGCTGTCCTTGAAGAGTATCTGAAAGCTTCAGCTGGTGCAAAATGCAGTGGTGTGGGCAGTTGTGTGTGCTTCTAGAACTGCACACATTACACTCTGCTCTGCAAGCTGCATTGGCTCTAGTCTGCTTCTGGGTCCAGTTCAATGTGCTGGTTTTGACCTTTAAAGCCCTCTGTGGCATGGGGCTGGGTTGAGGGACTGCCTCTCCCCGATTGTATCTGCCCATCCCATCAGATCTGGCAGAAGAGGCATGCTATGGGTCCCATCTGCTAGGAAGCTACACTTGGTGGAAACAAGGCTGGCTCCATCCCTGTTGATTTTCCTGAAGTCCCTTAAAATCTGGCTATGTCATCAGGCCTCGGGGCCCCAGGGGACCGGCAAAGTACTGAGGTGGCTCCATTGTTGTTAAACTTCTGCTGTTCTCTCTTAGTCTTTGTGATTTTTTAATTTTTTAATAATTGTTTTTTAT